TAGACCATTTTGTGCTGACGGGAATGCGTTTATTTGTTCGCTGCTGTTTCGGACAACTGGGCCGACTGTCCTTTATCAGAGCGTAAACTGACTTTATCGACCAACGATTCTGAGTTGTGCCTATACCTGTCGGTCGTGGGCTGGTCGACTTTTCTTCGTTCTTTGCCACAACTTCAAATTGCTGATCGTTAAAGTTAGTTTACGCTTTGAAAAAGGACAGCCGTCCGAAACGTCAGCAAACAACTAAATTAATTCCGGTGAGCACAACATAATCTATGAAGTTCAGGTATGCCGACCGTTTCATTTTTCGCTCTGTCTTCGTTTGGCGACTTCGCAATCGTCAAGGCTATGTTCAGAAAAGGTGTCCCCGCGACTGACTTTGAATCACCCAACCTGGCGAGCAGCGAGGAAGCTGTTCGCTGTCTGTGTTCTTTGTTGACTATAGTTTCGCTGGAGATCAGTTCGCGAAGCAAATATGTAAATATCGACCGGATTCTTTCGATGGATATGTTCTGAGCGAGCACTAGGGTAGAGAGAATGTTTTGAAAAGAGCCTCAAATACCTTTCGTTTATTTGCATCGACCTCACAACTTCTCTAAGGATTTTTACATCATACGGTCAAAGACCGCCTCTACATGGTTGGTCCAATACTTGGTTTAATAATTACCTCATTTTTTGCCAGTGGTCTCAGCCAAAGGCAGTGGTAACTTTACATTAACACAGTGTCTACTGTGGTCGGCTGACATCTTGTATTCCGGAAACCGTGGCGAGTATATCCAGTCTTAAATTGTTTCATTTTAAGTCTAAGTTGGTTGTCTTCACGCCTTACGACCCATCGCCGCAATGTCTTTAATGTAATTCCTGGACCGTTGTCGACCAGAGGTTGCCAAAAAATCCACTCCCAAATGCCTGAATGCAGTCCTGTCGTACGTCGAAGGTTAGATAAAAGGACTCAACCTCATAGCCATACACACGGATTTAATTTACTCAATGAGACGAGGTTTTCGAAACTTTCACTTTTCTCTCGACCATATCCCATCGAAATTCACTACAAGAGTGCATCGCTCGTCCCATCTTGTGATACCATACACAAGCACTGACAGTTAAATTGCGCGTGTTCCGCCGATTACAGTGTATGGACCATTACCGAGGCTGGGTAAATCATGTACGCCCGTACAATTATTAGATTATAGAATTTCGACTTTTTGGATGTTTTATATATGCGAGATTTGTTCTCTCAGTTTGCCTTTGTGATCATGATTGTTTTGGTGTAGGCGCTCATCACGATTTGTTTGGCATAACATTTTCTGTTCTTGTTAGCTTTATTGTGTGGTTTATTACGACGTCGAGGTACTAAAAATATGTGATTTCGATCTCGTTTAGCCAGGAGGTATTTATATAAACGACAGTTCGTCGCAAATGTCGACCACCATAACCTTGGAAG